CAAGTATTTAGATAGACTTCTGACTTGCAACAACTATTGACTTCTAAAAGACTCACAGAATGAAATACTATTAACCCCGAGAAACTTGCTTTTCAATGAGAACTTCTAATTCACTTTATGGAAAACACTGGCTTAGAATGGTAAGAGTAAGAAACATCCATTTTAGTTACAGATTACATTACATTGTATGTGATATTGGAGGCCTTCTCAAATTTTCTTCTACTTTGGTACTGCCACACAAGTACCAACATACACTGCATAACACAGATCACATCAATTTAAGACCTTTACAATCAGCGTAAAATACTCTTTTAATGCAACACTGTTCCACCAGAGGACAGCATTGTGCTAAAAACCCAAGCAACTCTGGTTCACCTTTAACTATCTTGAGAAGTACTCCCTTGCAATATCAACTCTCAGTCACTCTAAGCTTCATACTTGGAGTGCAGTGAGTCAGGACATACTCAACAGTCCCATTAACAAAGTATGTTTTACCCCTTCACTACAGAAGGGGTAAAACTACATTTATACCAAGCCCACATCTTCTTTTCATCCAGGTCAATTACTTTAAGCATTTTACATGTTGAATGGTTTGCTGAGCGATTCTAGGAAAAAAAAAGTAAAAAAAAAGTTCTTCCCTTTCACCTTTCATATTTTAATACTGATAGCCAAACTTACTTTGATCTTACAACACTGAACAGGTTTTCCTAGAAATTAACTAAAATTAATGTAACTGGTCCTGGGTTTAATAGATACTAAAGAGAGCACATAATCTGAATTCATGATGGGGAGAACAACACTGAAAAAAACAATATAGTTCATATACTGTATACACCAGGATCAATTTGTATTTACAATTATATGCAAAGCTATAAGGCAACATCAGTGAAAGTGTCTGTAATATCCCAAGCCATTACCAACTTGGATAGACACACGTTTGTAAAAAAAGCAAATGTCTTCTCCCCTACTCGGTGTCCTCAGAAACGAAGTGCAATCAAAACAACTCAATGATATTAAAAGCTGAATAATCAGACCCAGACAAAAAATCACCTGAGAAATTGTAGAAAATTCTGTATTTTTTTTCTTGTAAAGAGCACACAGTCGAAGATGAGTAATACAGAGATACTGAAATAAGTTCCAGCCTCACCATGAGGCCTCAAACTTTATCAGTATTTCCAATGTATTGTTTAATTTTTAGAAATTTCCAAGAAAATAACAGTCATTAGGAAACATTTTAAACACATATGAAGCCAGCATCTGAAGTATTCAAACAGTGAAAACAACAATTAGCTCCAGATAAGAATATTCAGTCATTCTGCTGTTCCTAAGAATTAAAATCCTTTCTCTTAGCAATATACTGGAAGACACTAGTTTCACAGGTAGTTACCAGCATTTAGCATTCCTGTCAGCAGCTGAATATCCAAACTCAAATTTTCCAGCCAATTCAGGTACTGTTTTTTGTCAGTGCTCAGAGAGAATCACCGTATTTCTTTAATGTACAACACAAACACAAAATTAGGCAGTGGTTTGTTCTCAAGAAAGAAAATGCCAACTACTTAAGAATTTCTTCCTAACTTAAATGAAGTACTGAAAGGGTTCGCCCTTCTAAAGACTTAAAGTATTACATGCAAGTGTACCACTCAGTTTCAAGGGACTGGATAAACTTTAATGTTTCTACCTTTTAAAAGCTCCAGTTTAAGCATGCAAATGAAAATCAAAAAAACTGTACTGCCTCTTTTGTGGTACAAAAGTTTGCAGCCTGTATAGTGCATTTTATTTATATATTCTGAAGATCATACATAACTCTACTTTTAAAATGCATCGTATGTGTTGTAGTGTAAGATGACGTTCTTGGTTTGTTCAGTTTTAAATAAATTTGCTTGACATTAACTATCTCATCTGTAGTCTACATGCCACACAGCAAGTCCAGAACTTAAGATATTTCTACTTAAGCAGTTCAGTTGTTTCCAAGACTGAAGAAAGGAAAATATATG